TGATGACTGGAAGGCAGATCAGCTGTCCATACTGTGCCCCAGTGTTCCTCCAGTGGGCCAGTCTTTCCCACCCCCCTCACTCCAAACAGCTCCCATGGGACAGGCCATGCACCAGTCCCGTGTGATGACTCACCGGCCATTCAGTGGCCCCTCACTCCTATGTGGGCCCTCAGGAACCTTGTCAGTAGTCTTGCTGGCCTGGAGGCCACCAAGGCCCTCCTCTCTCCTTCAGTCTCCAAGCAACTTCACACAAAGGGCACAGCTGCAGTGTTTGATAGCTCTTGCTCTGTGGGAACCTTGTCAGTAGTCTTGCTGGCCTGGAGGCCACCAAGGCCCTCCTCTCTCCTGCAGTCTCCAAGCAACTTCACACAAAGGGCACAGCTGCAGTGTTTGATAGCTCTTGCTCTGTGTGCTCACCAGGGCCAGCCTTGAAATGGCCAGGGCTCAAATGGTTGGAATGCTTTCTCTCATTGTGGCTTCTCCCACCTTCTTCATTGAATTCTATAGGTCTCTCCTCCTCTTATCCTGAGCTTAGTGGCCCCAACCTGGCAGTCTGCCTTTTAAACAGTTGCAAATTGGTCAGTTGAGGGAGAGAGTGATGCTGGGGATGTCTATTCTGCCATCTTGATTCTTCCTCCTCACTGAGTTTCCTTAAGATTGTTACTTGGAATTCCTTTTCAGTTATTTCAAGGGGTTCCTGCTCTGCGGGGTCTGGTACGTGAGAATTATTGTATTCTTTTGATGGTGTCTTTTTTTTTTTTTTAATTCATATTTCTATTATCTGTACATTGATGTCCAGTCATCTGGTAGAGCAGTTGTTTCTTTTATTACTCTGGAGCGGGCTTTGAGGAAAGAAACTTCCTCTTGTAGATGTGTTTCATATTGACCAGTGAGTAGGGTGTTTTAGTGTTGGTTCTGGGTAGATGCGTAGTATACTCTCCATGTGGGTACTTTGGCCATATTAAGTGTTGAAGTTGTGTGAGTGCTTCCCTGGCCTAGGAACTGGGGTGCTTAGATATTCCTTGCTGAGATTACTGATGCTGTGTTGGTTCATTGAGGATGTGGGTGAGCTCTCAAGTCCTTGGGAGAAGCACATGGATGCCATTTCACTCTTTGCCTGCTGTGAGTGTCCCTGGGCAGGCTTGTTGGCATCCCAGTTAGCATCCTGTGACTCTGATATGTGAACTGGGGTATACTGGGGTTCCCCGGTTTGGAATGGGTGACGCTGGGTGGGTTTTCTTTTTCCTCTTTCCACAGGCTCTGATGGTGACTCTCCTTGTGTTAGTGCAATTGAGTGATCAGCAGGCTGCCTGCATGGTGGCGGTGGCTGCTGCTGTGGTGGTGAGCTGCTCTTGCAGCAGTAGTGGCTGTGGCAGACCACCCCCACAGAAGTAGTATCTATGACAGGGGTGAGAGCTGCCCATGGCTCCTGAGGTCCCCAGGCACGCTCCTGCCATCTGTCAGGTGGGGGTGCCCATCCATAGTTAATTTATATTTTCCTGTGTATTTTTATTTTTTTAATTGCAAATTGGCAATTATTATTGTATAAATTCATGGCACAAAGTAATGTTATAATTTATAAATACCATGTGGAATAATTAAATCAAGCTACTTAACATATCAGTCACCTCAAATACTTAACTTTTTTTATATTGAAAACATCTGAAATTTACTCTCTTAGTGATTTTGAAATGTACAATACTCTATTAACTATATTTGCCTTCCTGTGTATTGTTAAACATCTCATTTTTCTGTATCTCTTTCAGTTCACAGCAAAAAAGCTCCATGGTTATCCATCATCAATCTCTAAAGTAAGTCCATCCCAACTGCTTTAGTCTGTATCAATTAACTATTCTAAAGTTTTGTTTGTGATGTTTTGCCATATATCTAGATCCACAGCTTGGTAGCACCGTTGCCTGTATTTAGGTTGAGATGATCATGCTGTCTGAACAGACTACTATGCTGTTTGTAAGAAACAATGACTACTTTAGTCGCTACCTCCTACCCCAACATTCTTGAGGCTGACTCCTGGGTTAATATAATAAAGAGCGATGACTCAGAAAAACAGAATTCTAGAGCTAAAAATCACAAGTTTAGTAACAACCCATCCCCAGAACAGAAAAACATTTCCGATTTATTTGGGTGAATGAGAGTAAGGGATAAAAAGGTCAAAATACCTACTCTTTAGGCCCCTCTTAAAATTGCAAATGTATCCTAGTCAGCCAGGTATCTCAACTTTCATCACTGCAAACATCTGCACAGAACCCTTTTGTGAGGCAGATTCTTCTGGCTGACTGTTCATTACAAGTATTAGAAGCCAAGATTTCAATAACGTCATACCATCTTATTGTATGCTGTTTACCTGTTTTTCTAACAGAGAACATTTTCTTTATTCCCATTGCTTTCCTCCACTAGTTTTAGTCATAACAGACACTGCCAGTAGCCTACCCAATTATCCATACTCTCCCATCATCTTCCTTACTATTCAAGGTGGTAAAGTACACAGCTTCACATGAATTATAGTTTGTTTGGGTACAGAATTTTTGGTTGACAGTTACTTCTTCTCAGCACTTTGAAGATATCTAATCCTTCCAGCCTCTACTGGGAGCTTCTAAACTGCCAACTGAAAAATAAATCCTCTTTAAGTAATGTATTTCTCCCTGGTTTGTTTCTTGTTTCTTCTTCTTCTTTTTTTTTTTTGAACTTGGAGAGGGGTTTTTGTTGTTCTGCATTTTTACTATCAATGTATATAGGCCTGGATTTATTGTAGTTACACTATTCAGTATTCACAATGCTGAGGATTAATGTCATTCTGAAAAATTCCCAGTCTTTGAATATTGCCTCTTCCTCACTTTTTATATTCTCTCCTCCAAGAACTTTGATTAAACATGTAGACCTTTTCATTCATTCCTCTACATCTCTAACTCTTTCATGTCTTTTCCACATCAGATGTATATTGAAGATTACAAATTCTTTCATAAGTAGGGACTAATCTGCTGTTTTAACCCATCCATTATGTTTTCAATTTCATTTCTATAAGTACTTTTTGATTCTTTATTATATCAGTCTTTCCCCATTAGGTAGGATGTTCGTTTTATATTTTTTGAAACAGGTTTATTGAAGTATAATTGACATAGAATAAACTGCATGTTTAAAGTTTACAATTTGATAGGTTTTAACATATGTATGCACCTGTGAAACCATCACTACATTTGTGACAATGAACATATTCATCATCCCCAAAAGTACTTTGTGCCATTTTGTAATCCTTACATCTCACCCTTCCACACCAAGCTCAGTCCATAGGCAACCACTCATCTGTTTTCTGTCATTATAGTTTGCAGTTTCTAAAGTTTTATATAAAAGAGGCATATTCTTTTTTCATTTTTCCCTTAGCATAATTATATTGAGATTCATCCATTTTTGTTATACATATCAATAGCACGTTCCATTTTATTGCTGATAGTATTTTAATGTAACGATATACCACAAATTTTCCAATTTCTTCTCCATGTAGTAAGATGGGACAATCATAGGGTATACCTCATTTGTTTCCTGTTTCTCAGGTATCACTGGCTTTTGTTGACTAATGTCCAATTTGTTTAGTACCACTGTTAAATATATATCATCTGTGTTTTCAGTTGTTTCAGGTGGGAGAGTAAAACTATGTTCTGTTATTCCATCTTGACTAGAAAAGGAAGTTCCACCTGGTCTTTTTTAATAGTCTTATTCTTTGACCATGTTTTTTATTATTTTGCTTTAAAAATTATAATCATACTCATTTAAAGTTTCTATTTGATAATTCTCTTATCTGAGATTCTTAGAGAACTAACCCTAGGGTTTTCTATGTCTGCTACTTCTCAGTCAGGAAGTGTCTTTCTCATGTATTCTGTGATACTGAAATACAAGTTCACTTTAAACAGGGCTTTATCAGAGGAAATCCTGTGCAGCCTGGATTAAATATATAACCTGCCAGAGCAGTCTTGTAAGAGCTTCTGCCTGGTTACCCCAAAGATATTACTACCCTGGGGTCACTTTTATGTTAATTACTTGGCTGGGAATTCCTAAAGTCAGTGATTGTTTAAAACCTAGTCATATACCTAGGTTAAGACAGGCCTAGGATTATGAATTCTCAAAGGAAGAATTTCTCTACTTAGAGCCCCAGCTGAAAAATACAAGCTTCCTTGATATCTGTTTGTGCCAGTAGGGGGAATTTTTAGCTCTTCAAGGGTCCCAGTTATATTCTGAGGACTTTGTCCAATACCCCACCTTGCATAGGCCCAAGATCTAAACTTCTGCCTTTACATAGGCAATAAAACCAAGCTCCTTGACATATCCTACTCAGCTCTTCAGAGCTGCTGCAGTGTCAGTTCATGCTTACTACTTTACTTTCCTCTTCATTTCTGGCTTCTGGAATTTCCCTTACTTACTAGTGATGCCATTATCCAAGATATTAAACTCAACATTAAACAAGCAGGAACAGAATCAGAAGGCAATGAAATGGAAGGAGTGTCAGACTTAAAATTCAAGTGCTGTCCCAATTTGTGAAAAGTTAAAAATTGCAATTTAATACATTCTAACATTTTCTCTTCAATTACTTACCTGCTGATTTCCAACTCATTGTATTCTTCTAACCATAATCTTATATTGGAATCACCAGTATACATCAGAGGCTTTCAAATTATGCCCCTTGCGAGGAAGCTGGCCTGCCCTGACTCCCAAGCTCTGTCTGAACTTGGATAAAAGGGTTGAGATAAAAATTTCAGCCTTTAAAAAGTTGGGAAATCCCTTTTCTGTGAGATAGAACAAATATTTTAAATGTATTAAATAATCTACTTTTAAAAAAATGACTCTAACATAAAGAAATACTGCTTATGTTTTGTGCTCTCAATTTTTTCTTATCTAAGTTTTAATTGGTATAGAAATAACACTGAATAAAAATTATATTCAGATTCTACATCAAGACTTCACTGTTTGCCCTAAACAAATTAACCACATACCTTTCTTTCTCTTAGGTTGTTCTGGTGAAGAGGCTCCTGGTGAGTCTGCATATGTCTCTTGCACTTGCTGAGTTTCCACCACTTCAGGAATCCCATCTAATGTGACGGACACATGGGTGATTGGGGCAACAACAATATCATCTTCAGATGAACTAAATATATTATTATCTAATGGAAATAAAATCAACTAATTATAATGAACTGGGTAGTAGAAAAAATAGTTTCATAATTTCTGCAAAGATTAAAGTAGGAATAACATCTTGAAATCTGTTCCCTCCTTTTCATTTCCTCTGCCTCTCAAGTAACCTTATATCAGTCCTGGCTTGACTAAACTATTACAATGTCTTTCTTATTTGACTTCCTATCACCAGCTATCTTGTCTGTTTTCTCCATTCTTCACATTGTTGCTAAAGGTATCTTCTGAAACCTAAGTCTGATCTGACCATATTATTCTTCCACACAAAAACTTTACACCCTGAAAAATCAGATGAATAAAATTGACATATCTTCTAAAAGTTTGTAGGGGAAAAAAGATGAGAGCAACCCAAACTCCACAGCATGCCTTTCAAAGCTTCCACAATCTAGACCAAACCTACCTTTCCAATTTCATCTCCTACCCACCATGAAGCTTACATGTCAGCTATACCAAAACACTTTTATCTCAAAAATTGCATTTTTTTTTTTTTTTACAGGTCTGTGTCTTTGACTCAATTCATTCTCTCTAGCTTAAATGCCCTGTCCTGTCTCCTCTACCTATTAAAAGCTTATTTTTCATTTATAGCACAGGTGAAAACACTCCCCCCAATAAAGCCCATCTCTGATGTTCTCAGCTAGAGTACTCATCCAGAACACTTTGCTATCACTCTCATGGCCTTTATTTCTGTCTTCTACAGTTATTTACTTATTTTCAAAATTATATTCTACTTATTTTCAAAATCAAATTGTAAGCTTGAAGAAAAGAATATCTATTCATTTGTATATCATATTATTGCCTAATGCACTGCTACTGTGCATATAGCAAATATTCAATAAATATCTTGACTTAGTAATTAATTTTATGAGTTTGAGTGCTTCCTTGTCAGAAAAGCCCAAAGGAGAACATGGATTTAAAGTGAATCAATAATGTGGCAGGAATTTTATTTATTTATTTATTTTTAATTTTTTGGCCGCAGGCTAGTACAGGGATCAAACCATGGACCTTAGTGTTATCAGCATCATGCTGTAACCAACTGAGCTAACCGGCCAGCCATGGTAGCGAATTTTTATGCCATGAAGTATTAGTAAAATTTTCAATAGAGTTTTGTCTATTCACTGATGAATATCTATAGAGATGACTAAATTATAATAGTTTGGGCCCTAAATAACCTAATACTTTCACCAATGAAGTTAAAAGCAGAAATTTTTCATAATCTAATATTTAATAACTAATAAATTACTTTTTTGTTCCTAAAGGCTTCATTTCCCAAATTTAAAAGTCTTTTCTAATTAAACATATTAGCAAAAATGCCTCAACTAGTACTGTGCCTTAAAATGTGCTTGGGACACAAAAAATATAAAACACGTCCTCTGGTCTCTCAACATTTATTATCTGATAGAGAGAGATGGCAAGAATAACTTTACACAGTACATAACCATGAACAATCATAACCACTCACTTATTCGCTTTTCATCCAGCATAGGGCCTGGAGAGTCCATATTGAGGAGTGCCTCAGCAGCCTCAATAGTTTCAATTGTTTCATCCCCATCATGACAAGAAGCTTCAACTACAATACATTTAACAAAAAAATAGAATTAGCTACAAGACATCTGTTGTTCTGAAATTCACACACTGCTGATCTCTTGAACCAGAACATATCCCTTAATATTTGAGTTTATATACATATACATATAAACAATCAACATATAAAATTGTTCTGAATCTGACTATTAAGTAACTGACAAAACAAAACACCTTTGCAAGATGCTGGGAAGTAAAAGGGTAAGTAAGAGCTTGCACTCTGGAGGGAAACCACTGGTCATTCTTATAGTTTCAGAAATAAATAAGGGCATTGGACTGGAATGGAAAGGGTCCTAGAATGACAGAAATCTTACGCTATGTCACTAAACCAGTAGGTCACTGGGCAAGTCATTCCGTTTCTGTAGACCCCATACTATAACATGACTGGGTTGATATTCTTTGGTACTTTTCAGCTCTAAAATCAATTCCAATATTCTTAGGTCACTAATGTGAACATTAGTCTCCATTAATCTCTGAATCTTCTTCCATTCCTCTTTAATTATTGAATTATCACTATTTCCAAGAATTTTTAGGCAAAGTCACATTGTTAGAATCTAAACACCTTGGTAATTATAGTATTCTGGTACCATTCTTCTACGGTGGATTTGTGGAACATTAATTACTCTATTACACACTGTGCTTAATCCAAGGTACAAATCACACACGTTATTTTGTAAAGCTTGAATATATATATAAACTCTCAGATTCAAGGTTGGATTGACAGTGTGTAACTAAATATAAGCCTTTTAATTTCACACAGTGCTAAAAAAAGCTCTTTTCCCCAAATGAACGAAAATGATCATTCCCACATTGTCTTTTCCCCATTCCTATTCAATCCAGAGGAGGAATAAAATCACATTTTCTTTTTCACTATTAAGACTATAATCAGACGTCCAAGAAATTGGTAGTTCTTTGAAATTTAGCTTAACTTTCCATCAGAATACTGTAATATTTATTATCCTAAATATTTCGTAAACAGTTCACATGATCTCTTTAGACTGAAAATCTCCAAGAACCTACAACATTCTTAATTGAATCCAAGTTCTCACTGACAATAACACTGAGCACCTATCACTCTTACACAACTGTGTTAGGAAACGTGGAAATTACAATAGTGTGAAACATACATAACCTTTTCCCTTAACTATTGGTAACTGATATGCAGATACTATCCAGGAAGATAAGTGATTAATTTTATGATATAGAACAGACTGACTACAGACAACTGTATATCATTGTAAGTTAAGAAGGCTTCCTGAAGAGATGGGCTTAAGTTGAGGCATTTAAGATAGGACTGAACAAGAAGAAAAAAAAAATAGAATTTAAGTACTGTGAGAGGAATAGAGGTTGATTAAAGCAAGAATAGTAGTAGTAGCAAGGGCATGCAAATAAGTCATTTAAAGAAAATGAGATTAGTCTATACTGTTATAAAACAAAATGTAATGGAGATTAGTAAATTGCCTTCTACCTGAATTAATTTGGCTGACGCCCCCCCCCACCCCCCCCATGGAATACCATGTTGGAAGGGACAAACTGCTAAAGGAACAGAGGGCCAGGACAACTTTTGAAGGATGCATACCAAGAAGTTCAGAATCTGTTATCCCATACTAACACAGCTCTTCTCAGTTAGGAAGAAACTCCTAACAAAGAACATTTTCCCCATAAAATAATGGCTAACACTGGGAGTCCCTACAACCTGCCAAGCCACAAGAAGAAAATCTTCCTCTGGATATGAAAGATACATTTGCAGGATTCCAAACCTCTGGGCTTGATTCCCTCAAGCTAATACCTTGTACCCAAATATCCACAGGCTCTCTGGATGTCAAGGAACAAGAAGATAGCCAATATAAAAAGAGGGAAGAATTGAAATCTAGCCTGGATTTTTCAAACAGCAATTTATCCCTTCACAGAATCTTCCTCTTTCAAAAGCTTTAAACTTTTCCTCCTTAAAGCATGCAGTTACATTTCTGAGTTACTATAAAAAACACCCTAGAGGATGTCGGTAGATTTCTGACTAGTTTCTTACATCCATAAGTATGTGCTCTTTTTATTTTCATCCTCTCAAGATGTACAAAACTGAAGTCTTCAAAAGCAGACTATCTCCCCCAATTACATGAATCAATTAATTTTTTAATTATATATTCTATAAAAACAAATGCTTATAAGTCCAATTTCTCCATAGCAGTTAAAACCAGGAAAGATAAATGCATCAAAAATTCTAACAAAATGTTGAAAGCAAGGCATTATAATTTACTCCTATTAAAGACTTGCAGATAAGTAAAGACATAGTAAAAAAGCATATTATTCCTTTGTCAAGGCTTTGAAATTCTTCTATGAATTGAGGAAAATGCCCGCTTAAAATTAAATTTTAAAAAAAATTAGACAAATAAAGGGTAGATAGCTCAACAATTTACTATATCCTAAACATTTTATACAGTAGTAGATATTCATTTACATAGATTTTATAAAATATTTTAAAATTCTGCTGGGTAGATAAAAATGATAATATTAGTATACATAACAATTTAGTTGCCTTTAGATTCTAAGAAAAAACAAGGAGAATTTTAAGCCATATTTTGGTTAAGATTTTTATCATAGAAAATTTCAAACATATACAAAAGTAGAGAGAATCAGAAAGTGAATCCTATGTATCTAGGGATTCAATAATTAACAATAATAGCCAATCTTCCTTCATCTGTACTTCCCTAGCCCAATATACATTCACTGGATTATTTTAAAGTGAACCCCTATCAACCTACCATTCAATTGTAAATATTACAGTATTCCTCTCTAAAAGACATTGCCATGATCACATCTTTAAAAAATTAATTATTCTCTAAATCAGATGTCCAGTTAATACTGAAATTTCTCTGGTGTCTCAGGGTTTTAAAAAAATTGCTTCCTGCAAATCAGGAGCCAAACAATGCATCACAATTGATGATATGTGCTTCCTCCCTCTTTTTTTCCATTATGCTGTTTATCTTAAAAGAAACAGGGTCATTCGTCTGTAGTTCCCACTCTAGATTTTTCTGATTATACTTCTGTAGTGTCACTTACCATATGCCTCCCCCCATGAATTTCCTGTAAACTGTTAGTTATATCTAGAAGTTTGATCAGATTCACAGTCAATTTTTCGGCAAGAACACTTCAAAGATGGTGTTGCATGATTCTGTGTGCCTCCTGATGTGATGCTATAACATCTGGTAAACTGCTTTCAGTACTGTTAAGACTGAAAACTAGGTTAAAGTGTTGTCAGCTGGATCTATCCATTGTAAAATTCTCCATCAGTCTTTGACCTAATGGCTGTAGCCGTCATGAATGATAGTTGCCTAGATCTACTATTTCATTAGCGGTTCTGAAACGGTGGTAATTCTAAACCTATTGTTCTTCCAGCATTTATTAGTTAGAATTCTCCATAAAGAATAAATTTCCTTCATTATCTGGTTATCCTGAGCCACTGTTCATACGATAAAAGCAAATTAAATACCCGATTCTTTTTTCATTATTTAATGGGTTTCAGAATAATAAATGGGCTTCCTAGCATCTTCCAAAAGTGGCCAATGAGTTGTTTTTTTCTTTTTTAGTATCATTGTGAATGCACAGATTTTAAAGCACTTGATATTCTTCAATCTACTGCAGTTATAATTCTTAATCATGCTCTAAATGTCCCATCTTTGGAAAATAAAGGGCATTCCTGGATCTTTTAGACATGACCCAAATAATTTTTGACATTTGGGATGATAAGACATTACAGGCTATTCTTATACATTTCCTGTCCCAAACCCAGAATCAGTCTTTTCTTTCAGGTGTCCTGTTACCTTCAGTGGTAAGTTTGTTTAGAGACCACAATTTTTTTTTTTCTTTTTAAAGATGACCGGTAAGGGGATCTTAATCCCTGACTTGGTGTTGTTAGCACCACGCTCTCCCAAGTGAGCCACGGGCTGTCCCCTAGAGACCACAATTTAGATACTAGGGGTGTTCACTGCTATTGCATTGTTCATTATTTTTAGGCCTTATCAATGGCCAAAATTGAAAAATAGGTAGATCTCCTAAAAATGTTTATTTCAGAGAATTTTAAACATATTCAAGCATAAATAGAATAACATAACTAATCTTAATTTATCTATATCCCCATGCACTTCCCTATCCCCATATTATTTTGATGCAAATTATACACATCCTGACATTTCTGCAGTAAATTATTTCACAAAATCTCTCTAAAAGGCTGTTTTGAAAACAATTATAATATCATTATCACATAAAAAAATCACTATTTTCTTAATATTAAATAGCCAATCAGCATTCAAGTGACCAATTGTCTCAAAAATCATAAATGATAGTGATGGGGAGAGTGGACAGTTTTTTGTTTGAATCAGAATCCAAGTAAAGTCTTCACAATGCAATGGACTGATTAAGTTTTTTTTTTTTTTTTTTTTCCATTTCTATGTCACCCTCCATCCCTCTAATTTTTTTTTCCCCTGCAATTTATTTGTTGAAGAAATTAGGCTGTTTGTCTGATGGAGTTTCCCACAGTGTGGATTCGGGTAGTTGTATTCCTATTGTATAGTATAACATATGTTTTAGTCCATTTTGTGTTGCTATAATAGAAATACCTGAGACTGAGTAATTTATAAAGGAAAGAGGTTTATTTGGCTTACGATTCTGGGACAGCTGCATCTGGCATGGGCCTCAGGCTGCTTCTACTCATGGCAGAAAAGTGGCAGGTACAAGCAGATCACATGGTGGGAGAGGAAGCAAGAGAGAGAGAGGAGGTACCAGGGTCTTTTTACACAACCAGCTTTCATGGGAACTAACAGAGCGAGATCTCACTCATTACTCCCTTCTCCCCCAGGGACAGCATTAATCCATCCATGAGGG